GATGATAACCAGATCTCCTTAGAGAAAGAAAATCTGTAAAGTACATAAGACACAGTTTCCAAGCAGATAAAGGGCTTTGCTTCCTCTCTTTGGAGAGGGACAAAGATACAAAAACACAACAAGAAAAAGTTCACTCAGTTTCCATTCTTTGGGGACTTGATTAGACAGTGAGCCAGAGAATGCAGGAGGAACATTTCCACTGCATTCCCACCATGTCTGAAGAGGATACCTCAAGTGATGTGACCAGACTGCTCTCTGCTCATCACACTGCCCATATCCTATGCAGATTGTTCTCTACTTCTTCTGGGGATATGCCCCTCTCCCTACACAGCTGGGTATTATCAGAAGTGACCTGCCTTCTCACCTATTCAGTGTTAACTCCAAAGTGGGCAGAACTGATAAACTAGGCTTGAAAAGAATTAATGATATTTTTAATGTGACAAATAAGTCTTGATTCCTAATTCTATTTTGTTTATCTTCCCAATGGATTGTCATCATGACCTTGCAAGGTAGGATTTTACAAAGTAAGCACTATTATTATCCTCATCTTACTGATGAGGAGACTGAGACAGGGAGAGGTTAAGTAACTTGCCCAAAGTTGTAGAGCTAGCCAAGGTGGAGCTAGGACTTGAACCCAGGGGGACTGGTTTCAGAACCATTTCACTGTAGCTGCTGTATCATACTGACAAAGCTAGGTAATGACTGGGAATGGAAGACATCAACCATTATTGTGCTTTAAGTCATTTATGCACTAGGCTTATTGCTCCAAAGAGACCTTAAAGTAAGAGCAGACCCTAGGGTGTCTGGGAGTTTGAGTCATGAAAAAGTTTGGTTTTTAAGGCAGTGGGTGTCAGTCCTCGCACGGGGCAAAATACTGAGAAACATTCGAGAAGGGCTACATCCGTTTCTAAGAATTGGGAAACTCTCTGGAAATGACTCAGATCAGAGAAAAAATATGAGTCAAACAGAGATTGACTGTCTTATCAACAATTTTGGCAAAATCAGATCAAAAAGCTGGGTTTTATAAATCAGGCAGTCAGGGTTTTATATTTTCCTTGATTATGCTAATTTTGGTTTTCCACAGCTTTCAGAAGAGGCGCTTTTGCCTCTTCTGAAATACAAAATAAGAAAGTTCATCAATTAACTGCTTTGCTTTGAGGCCAGAGGACTTAACTGGGTAGTGGATCTTGGGTGATACCGGAGGTAACAGGAACAAGGAAAAGAAGGGGGTTTTGATTTTGCCCACACTTGAGGTATAGAGAGAACACAGAAGCAATGGGGTTGTCAATGGTTGTAGCAGAGGAGGTCAAAGTGGAAGAACCCCAAAGCAAGGGGGCACTGTAGTCAGGGTTGACCCACAAATCATCCCACTCATCCCAGATGAATGCTTTGCCCAGAGCACTCATCTGTACCAACTTCCTTAGAAGGCACCAAATTTTAGTAAGGGCAGTTCCTCTCTCTCACCTACACCTGTCTGCAGCCCTTCATCAGAACTGAATTATGTCACAGGAGCTGTACAGTGAAGATCCGTCTTCTCCCCTCGTACAACCTCAGGAAGGAAATGAGTCTTCTGAGGTGGGACTTTCTCAAAGGTTAGGAGCCCGAAGGAGGAGAAGCAAAGCTGAGAAAAACACCCTGGATGACAGAGCCCTAAGCAGCCCAACTTCACTTTAAAAATGTCAGTATTAATTCTCTAAGAATGTTCTCTTTCACGACTGTCAACTATTCTAGGTTCTTTAAATTTCTGTGCAATTTAGAGTCAGCTTGCCAGTTCTACACACAAAAAAGTCCTAAGGATTTTGACTGAGATTATGTTAAAGCATAGATCTGGAGTTCACAAAGTTTTTCATTTAAGAGTCAGATAGTAAATATTTCGGGTTTTGAGAGCACAAGCAGCCATAGGTAATATGTGAGTGAAAGGAAGGAAATATATTTCAAATAGCTTTTAGTCCACAGAAAAAGCAGTGAACAAGATCATGTTTTAGGGTATGGCTGTGTTCCAACAAAACTTTATTTACAAAAGCAGGCAGTGGGCTGCATTTTGTCCATGGGTCATAGATTTTTTACCTCTGTTATGGACTAATTGGCATATTTACAATATTGAATCTTCTAATCCATAAATATAACATATCCCTCTATTGATTTAGGTCTTTTTATTTTGACTCAACAATATTTTATTGTTTTTAGTATACAAGTATTGTACACTTTTGTTAAATATATATATATATAATGTTCTTATAAATGGGCTCAAATTGACTTTTTATCAGCGACATCTATTTCAGAAAGTATAGGACTTATAATTTATTCTCTGTTATCAAGGAAACAACTAATATTTTGTTACTAAATGATGTTCAAAAATAGAGGTAGAATAAAATTTAAAAATCAATCTGGACAATCTATCTTTAAAAGCACATTGACTTTTCCTCCTTCAATTTAGTGCTTCCAAATAAATACTTTTCTAAAAAACAACTCTGAGGAACAGAAAATATAGAATTAAAATTACACAGAATCATCTCTCCAAAAGTCACTTGTGGGTAGGGCAAGAATGGCTCATTTTTTAAGAATGGCTTACTTAAAAAAAAAAAAAAAAACAGATTTACCATCATAATTATACCTTGCTTAGAACAACCTTAATAGTTTGTAGGACACCTATATGTATGTTTCTGGGTGATCAAGAAGTTTGGTCTGGGGTTAAAAATGCTATCACTAAAAGTTCTCAAACTACAAAACCATCAGCAAGGAAAGGTGCCTGGTGCTGAGCGTGAATGTCGACACAGAGGTAAGGAACATGGGCTTTGGTACTCACCCTGCCTCTTCCACACTCTGAGACCTTGGGCAAGTCATGCAGGCCTCCCATATCCCAGCTTCCTTGTGTGAAAACTGAAAACAGTATCACAGTATTCTTGATATAGAAGCTGATGAAAGAAAAGAAAAGAGAAAAGGAAGGAAGGAAGGAAGGTAGGTTACCTATTTCACAAAGTTGTGGTGAGTATTAAATGAGATTTATATAAAATTCTTCTGACAGCACTGGGACACAGCAAATGTTCAATAAGAAACACTATTGGAATGTTTCTATTTTTATGAAGATGAAATTGGTGATGATGATGATGTTTGTTATAAAGCTTAGGTATGTAGCAAGTATGTTCTAACTTCCTCCACCATCGATATAAGCCAAAAAAAAAAAAAGAAAAAGAAAAAGAAACCCAACCTAATAAATGGCTCAGCTTCCAGTAGTCAGCTGGAGAAGGGGGAGTAGAAATGGGAGAAATTGGTGGCGTGGAAACAAACAAATAATGATTCCTCCTCACAAGGCATCAATCTAAGAAAGGAAGGCCCAGAAAAGAAAACTAAGGTCCAGCTCTGTGACTCTATTCCATTACCATAGAAAGAAACAGAATTTCCCTTAAGGATCGCTGCTCCTGGTCTTTCAGATCCCAAATACGCTATTCACTGTTTCATGTCCAGGCCCCAAATGAAGACTCTAAGATTTTTCCTAAAAAAATACAGCACAGTGAGCTTCCCAGGAGCTAGGTTTTCCCCAGGGGGAAGTGGCTCACCTTCCAGTAAGATGAACAATAAGCTGATCGTTAATATCCAGTGTCCAACAAAGATAAGAGGTGAAGTCTGAAAGAGCTAAGGGAAGGAAATATACTTTAAACAGCTTTTACTCCACAGAAAAAGCAGTGAACAAGATCATGTTTTATGTGGATAAATTTGGCCCTTTTAAATATGAAAAATGGCCCACCATGCAGCATAAACACTCTTTTGTACCATTACTTTTAAAAATACATCCATTTATCTTTCATTATATTTTATTATTGCTACATTTTATTATAAACATTATGAACAGAGTCACAGAGGAAAAGAGTCAAGAAAGCAGTACTTACTCATGAGAGGCAGTGATGAAATGCTGAAACAAACTCTGTGTGTGTGTGTGTGTGTGTGTGTGTGTGTGTGTGTGTGTGTATTTTCACATTTTTCTTTGTCTGCTTTCTCATGTTCTAGGTTAATAGATTTCCTTATATTAAATTTCTATTGAGATGCTTGCTGCTTCTTTAGGACTCTTAGAGTTCGTTCCTGTCTAAGTGAAGTAGCGTGCTAAGCATGGTACCTGACACATTTATTTAAATTTTCTTTATCCTTTCGGCATCAATCATTCCATCTCATATGTACTCAGGTTCAAGTCAACAAAAATTTTGACAATGGCTACAAAGCACAAGCTCTTTCCACCTGTCACCCAACTTCTAGAGAACCTCAAAAAAAATCTCTGATCTCCTTACAATCCTGTGGGATTCAAAGATGGCACTCCCGAGTGTGCCATGTTCACATGGTCTATGAGTAGCTCCACCTTCTGCTGCTCTCTGCAAGCCCAGTGATGTTTCTTCTGACTCATGGGCTGCTTCACGCCTTCCAAAAGTCTCTTATTCTGCTCCAGAAATGTAAGGCTTTCCCAGGATCCTTAGAATCCTAAGAATTGGCTCCTAATCTGTTCCCACCAACCCCCACCCCCAACCACTGATAGTTACTTATTGAATGCCTACTGTGTGGTAGGTATTGTACTAAACACCAAGAATATCATAAGGCCTATTTCAGGCTCTCAAGGATATCACAGAGCAGTGGGGAGCACACGTGAAATCAACAATTGTGTGATGAGATTTGTTATGTAGGAGCACGCATTTAAATATGGATGGGAAAGAAGAGATTAAAAGAATGGTTCTCAGAGAAGGTGAAGTTGAAGAGACAATACATTGAAAGATTATATAGGAATTAGCCAGATAGAAGAGGAAGAAGGCAGGAGGATGCTACAGGCAGGCAGATCAGCATGTGCAAAAGCATGGAGTAACCAAACAGTGGGCTTGGTTTGAGGAAATGTAAGAAACTCGGTATGATTGAATGAAGAGGGATTTAAGGAGTCAAGAGAGATGAGGATAACATGTAACATGTTGATTGCATGACTCGTGGGAAGTAATCATAGGCAACTTTGAGTTTACTTAAAAATGACCCTTCCACCTGGCAGGGGAGATACAATGATCATGAAATGAAGGTGGTTTTCCCGGGGAGAGGCTTATCCATTGCACTCCGGATGTGCTGGCCCCTGCGATTTCCCCAAATGTGGGAAACTCGACTGCATAATTTGTGGTAGCGGGGGACTGCGTTTGCGCTTTCCCCTGGTCAAAAAAAAATGACCCTTCCAAGTTTATTTAGTGGGGAACTTTTCTCCTGCTTATGAAACACATAAGGTCTGAAATCATGATTTCATTGCCTACTCGTTTCTGGGCAAAGGACAATCTTAAAGCCCCTCTAAGTTTCCAATCATAATCAGTATTAGGAAATCAGAAAGTCTAGTCCAAGCTACTTTCAAAGGTTTTAAAACTCACTGAAAGGTGGAACTTCTCTGTGCTCATCATGCTAAGTCCTGGTTAATAGCCACCTGCCTCTGGCAACAAGGGTGTGATTGACTTCAACTCTCTCTGCATCCCTTCCTCTCCCCCGTTTATTAGTTACTGTTTCTGCCCCAACCAGGATGAAAAAAGATATGGAAGAGAGAAGTAAAAGGATACAGCAGTTCTAACTTTGCCAAGTAGCATTGTACTTTTGCTTTTCAGCACATGGTTAAAGCTGACTCTGTCTCATGGGGCATCTTCATGAGTTCTTTGGATGTTTATGTCCTGGGGATTCCTCCCTATGTTTTCTTAATTCGGACAGATGTAACCCTATTCTTATCATTTGCAAATCCTTCCTAAGTCCTCAGATATTCAGTGTTAACTTTAGCTTCTTGCCAGGGTCCTCCAGCCATGTAGGTGATCTTATTGGACAGAACCTAAGCCAGGGCACACTGGCTAGTCCATGCGGCATATTCATACTACCTTTGTTCTCACTCGGTCTGTGAGTGCAGGTCCAACCTATCATTACTGCCTCTGCGCTGACACCACTAGTCCTGTTAGCTTTCCCTGGGCATGAGCCAGGCATCACCCCTGCAGATATAGAGCCTCTGGGAGAGCTCATGAAAAAATGTCCTATTGTGGGTTAAATCATGTCCCTCAAAAGATATGCTAAAGTCCTAACCCCAGTACCTCAGAATGTGACTTTATTTATAAGTAGGATTATTGCAGATTCAATTAGTTAAGATGATGTCATACTAAAGTATGGTGGGCTCTTTTTCCAAGGGGAGGAGGAAGAGGAGGAGGAGGAGGAGGAGGAGGAGGAGGAGGAGGGAGGGATGGAGGGAGAGGGAGGAGGAAGAAGAAGGAAGGAGTAGGAAGGAGGAGGGGGAAAGAGGAGAAGGAGAGAGTCAAAGACAAAGGCAGAAAATGTGAGTGATCCAAGGAATGCCAAGGACTACCACCCATCACCAGAAGCTGGGAAACAGATATAGAACAGATTCTTCTTCAGAGCTCTCAGAAGGAACTAACCCTGCTAGTGCTTCCATTTCAGATCTGTAGCATCCAGAAATGTGAGAGGTAAATTGCTGTTGTTTTATGCCTTTCAAGTTGTAGTATCTGGTTACAACAGCCCTGGAAAACTAATATATATTCTCATGCACTTGAGTTGAGAAAGTTCCACGTGCACTCTCTAGCGCACGCTCTCTCTCTCTCCCTGCCCCCACCCCACCCTCTCCTCTTCCTTATTGGGCAAGTGGCATTTAGTGTATAGGAACAACTCTCTCCAAATTGCTCTCTTCACAAAACCCAATCTCTACTTTCTATCCTTTTTTAAAACCTTTGATCAAATTGAAAGCGTATAAGAATTACAGATCCAGTGGGCTCGAGCAGATAAGAATTCAAGCACAGGTTGATTTGGGAGATGACATCAGTGGGAAAAGGAAAAGTAAGATGAAAGAGAAGACAAACAATAAAGTGAGGGTTATCAAAGCAGCTTCCACTTGGGGTGACTGGAACTTAATCTCTTAGGGAAACTCTGAGAAACAGCATAAAACGTACATCAGAAGTATCCCACCTCAATCCACCTGAGGGTGAGGGAGCTGGGGTATTTATACATCAGCTCCTTCTGTCATTGGTTGAGAGCTGCTACCTTGAGGAGTGGACTAGAACCACTGGTGTGCTGACAAATGTTTAACAACCGTAACAGGACACTTTTCATGAGGACTCTCAGAGAATCGGAACCTGAGGGCACTCTCTGGCACTTTTGTCCTAGGAGTAGAGTGGTCTTCTGCAAGGATATGTGGATACTGGTGATTAAAAGAGGGCTATAACCAGTGGTGTGCTGGTAAATATTTAACAAACAGCTTTCTGGCTAGGGAGGTGGGGGAAGACTATCAATATATTTTTAAGAAATTAAAAATATATTAAAAGTGTTTATACAAAAGTTTATTATATTTTCTGATATAAGGGTTTGTATGACATAATTGATAAACAATAGGATATATAACACTATTATAAATTGGATAAAGCCAGTTGATGTTCACAGAATATATTCACTGGTTTTTTGCTGAATTCTTGGTTCTGAAGCCAACCAATGATGAATAAGTATAGTTCTGATAGGAATGTTGGTTGATATTTTTATTAGTTAACAAAGTGAAACTGTGAAGATGTCTTCTGGGCATTCATTAGAGAATGACGTCTTTGCTGAATTAGAAAATAGTTATGGAATACTGGAGGAATTTTCCTCAAAGTTTTGGGCTATTCACAATGTAATAGCTACAGACATACTTTGATTTTAATCTGCCTTACTAAACAATGATAAGGCTTAGTGCTGTAAACTTGTAGGTTTTCCCCAAGTTAACCTGTAGATTCAATGCAATTCTGAGGAAAGAAGCAAGAGAATATATAATGAAACTAAACAATTCTAAAATTCATTTGGAAGTTTAAAGGTTCAAGAACAGACAAAACAACCTCAGAAAAGAGAACACTAAGCAGGAGACTGGTCCTGACACGTAAATCGAAATCACTGAGATAGTCTGGCACTGACACAGGCATATGGATCAATAGATTGGAAAACTAAATAGAGACTCAGAAAGCACAAGTTATGTGATTTCTATGTGATCCAGGTGACATTATAAACCCGTGTGAAAATGGCACAAGTGACTGTCATATAGAAAAAAAAAGAAACTATGTTCCTACTTCATAATATTCTAAAAAATAAGTTCGATGTGGTTTGGATTTTGGACCCTCTGCAAATCTTATGCCAAATTGTAATCCCCAACTTAGAAGGAGGAACCTGGGGAGAGGTGATTGAGTCATGAGGGTGGATTTCCCTCCTCTTGCTGTTCTCCTCATAGGGAGTGAGTTCTCATGAGATCCAGTTGTTTAAAAGTGTGTAACGCCTTTCTTTCCTCTTCCTCCTGTTCCAGCCATGTAAGACATGACTGCTTCCCCTTCACCTTCTGCCATGATTGGAAGCTTCCTGAGGCCTCCCCAGCTACGCTACCTGTACAGCCTACAGAACTATGAGCCAACTAAGCCTCTTTTCTCTATAAATTATCCAGTCTGAGGTAGTTCTTTATAGCAATGCAAGAACAAACTAATACAGTAAATTTGTACCTAGGAGTGGGGCATTGCTATAAAGATACCTGAAAATGTGGAAGCAGCTTTGGAACTGGGTAACAGGCAGATGTTGGAACAGCCTTCAGAACTGTGAGCCGATTAAACCTCTTTTCTTTACAAATTATCCAGTCTCATGTATTTCTTTATAGCAATCCAAGAACAGACTAATACAAAGTTTTGAATAAATTAAAACCCAAATGTGAAAAATAGGACTTGAACAGAGTGTATATATTTAATAGGAAAATCTTTGTGAATTAAAGGTAGGGAATGATTTCTTAGACAAGACAAAAAATGTATATCTTCTAAAAAACAAGTTTGGTAAATGTTTAAAATTTGATAAAAATTTAGGAAAAAATGTAGAGCTTCTCTCTCTCAAAATATGTCATTGTTAAAAGACAACCCATAGACCTGTAGAAAATATTTGAACTATAAGTAACAGACTGAGCATTAGTATTCAGAAATGTAAAGGACCAATGAAGTAATAAGAAAAACATAAACAACCCAGCAAACATGGGTGGAGATTATTAACAGGAAACTCACTAAAGTGGAAATCTAAATGACTAAGAATCATATAAAAATATTATCAGCTTCACATGTAATCAGGGAAAAGCAAGTAAAACAATAATGAAATACTATTTTATACACTTTGGATTGGCAAAGATTTTAAAGTCCAACAGTCTCAACAATTGGCAAAAATGTGGGAAATAGAAAAGAGCATACACTGCTTTGGTGAGTGTGAATTAACACACTCATGGCTAGGCATGGCGGCGACTCACACCTTTAATCCAACTCTTTGAGAGGCTAAGGTGGGAGGATTGCTTGAATTCAGGAGTTTGAGACCAGCCTGGGCAATATGGTGAGACCTCCATCTCTACAAAAAATACAAAAATGAGCCACATGTGGTGATGTGCACATGTGGTCCCACCTGCCTGGGAGGTTGGGGTGGAGAATCATTGAGCTCAGTAGGTCAAGGTTGCAGAGAGCTGTGAACACGCCACTGCACTCCAGCCTGGCTGACAGAGTGAGATCATGTCTCAAAAAATAAAATAAAATAGTAACACACTAGCTAAATATCTTTTTAAAATTTATTTTGCACTCTTTTTAGCTCATTTTTTTAAATTTATTTTTTATTCCAACAGGTTTTCATGAAGCAGTCCATGTTTGTTTATATGAGTAAGTTCTTCAGTAGTGATTTCTGAGATTTTTGTGTACCCATCACCCAAGCAGTGTACACTGTACCTAATGTGCAGTCTTTTATCTCTCACCCCCTCCCACCCTTTCCCTCAAGTCCCTAAAGTCCAATGTATCATTCTTATGCCTTAGAATTCTCACAGCTTAGCTCTCATTTATGAGTGAGAACATATGATGCGTGGTTTTCCATTCCTGAGTTACTTCACTTAGAATAAAAGTCTCCAGTTCCATCCAGGTTGCTGTGAATCCCATTAGTTTCTTCCTTTTTATGGCTGAGTAGTATTCCGTAGTATGTATATCTACCACATTTTCTTTAGCCATTCATTAATTGATGGGCATTTGGGCTGGTTCCACATTTTTGCAACTGTAAATAACACACTCACTAAATATGTTAAAAAAAAAAAAAGTGGAAACTGCACATGCCTGGTGACTCACAAGTTTAAATCTGAGGAAAATGACTGCACATGTAACACAGG